TAGATCAGTCCTGAATTCCTTGTTGTTTACCCAGATTGATATACACCTGATGAAGGCCGAAACGTTGTAAAAACAATAACAAAGATGAGGACAATAGTCCAAATGTAAATATTGTAAATAAAGTAAGGCTACAAAATAAAAATGCTCAAATATAAGCAAAATAATAATAATAATAATTATTATTATTATTATTATTATTATTATTAATGTTGTTTTTGTTATTCTCTGTAAATCAATCGCGTTACCCAATAGGCATCATCTTTTGTAATCATTCGAATACTTGTAAACTTTTCGCTTGAAATGATTTACCAGCTCGACCCAGTAATATTTTGGTGGCTGACGGCATTTCTTATCAAACTCTAGCGACTGACTAAAGTTAAGCTGTCCTCTTGGAAAGTTGGCAGTAAGACTATTGCCGAATGTAGTCAGATGAAGCAGTGCATCACTTTCTCGGATCAACAGATCTGCGTTTCCAGAGAGCGAAGATTACCCATCAATGAAGCGAACGAACTCGATTTATTGCCGTATGATTGTTTAGGCCTGAGGGCTGCGCGACCTGTATGAATAAAGGTCGATCCGGACTACTCTTATTTCACATTGACACTTCCTGGAAATTGACGGCCATGTTTAAATACGGGTCGAATCTAAAAGTATGGTATTTGCTCGAAGCTCCACAACCAAAAGGGTATATAGAAAGCTATTTTAAAGAAGAGATCACCCCGAGAAAAACGCTTGCGTTGAAAACATGAAGACAGACATACTGTTTCTTAAATAGCGCTCTCCTCTAAAAGTTGTTGCAAAATATTGGAAGCGTTGCGCCCTTCAATTTGTTTATTTGAAACAGACTATATATATATATATATATATATATATATATATATGAATAAAAACAGTCCACTTTAAGGTTCCATGTAATAAGTTAATTCACCACAGCCCTTTTAAAGGGCTCTGGATCATCAGACTTTACTTCCAAAGGTTGAAATGAAAAATGAAAAGAAATTTACACATTTTTGACGGGCCGTATTAAGCATATGTAAATTAACGAAGTGAGGAAGTGAGTGGGGAGAGAAGACATGAGTGAGTTAGATGTAACATTTCAATTCTTTATCCTTAAGCTCCCTTGGTGTGGGCCAGACATCGCTTAACTTAACGTATGTTATCTCTAGATATAGATGGGTAAGAGGTGAAGAAGAAACCCACATAAAAGGAAAAAGATACAATAAAACAAATCCCGAGAGAAGGTTTCACTCAATTTCTTAGACGCTGTTATTTCGCATTACTTTAAAGGGTATATTTAGGGGTTAAAGTTTGATATAAATCTAAATGTCTAAAAAATCTACGAAGAATTTAATTTGATGTTTGTTCGAGTTTGGGGTATTTTCTATGAAATAGTCGATTGGAAAAAAATCATAGAAAGTACATTGAAAGAATGAATTCCTTTTACATCTAGTAATCTTTTTTATTTGCTTAAACTTTTTTCTTGTTGATTATTAAGTTGACATCTATTCGTTTGAGTTTTGTTCATAAATTAAACTCGTGATTGTTTTTAGATACCTACCTAATTATCAAAGGTTATTCCAATTTAAATAATTTTATCATCAATAATGATTATTAAAGGGTAATATATTTCAATTTGAATTAAATTATCAATTTAAAATTTACCTCCGTATTATTTAAACTTATTTCCAATTGGAGAATATTAGAGGAGAAATTTGGATAAAACATTACTAACAGAAAATTAGGTCCTTCTTTTATAATATTCTATATATCGATACACATACACACCTCTACACATATCCGAACACCCATCCATATCCACGTACCTACATATCCACATACATAGGTATTTTTTATTCAAATTTATTTGCTCTGAATTTACATTGAGCTCTCTAGATATCATCCTCCTTGGGTCTACCCATACGGATTACCTAGTTTTGCATAAACTATATATATATATATATATATATATATATATGTGTGTGTGTGTGTGTGTGTGTCTCTATGTGTGCTTGTGTGTGTGTCTGCCGTCTTTAAATGAACTATTTTAATCCTTTTTATTCATAACTAGCAGTATAAACCGTCCTCGACCGGGTCTTTCATTACTGGGAAGTTTTGGCGCAGTTTAAGTCAACCACCTGAAATTCAATCTTAGTAACAAGAATTGGGTGCAAATGAGGCACATCCCCAAATGGGGGGGTGACAATTTGAATGGGGTGTTGCCCGGAAAAAGGGCCGTTTTTGCGTTCTCAATCTTGCAAGGAAGGAACGTCTTCCATGTACCATCATGATAACAATATACAATAATATTTATTTATAATATTTTTTTTTATAATTCTAATAATCTTTTGCGTTATATTACAACTCTCTCAACTCATTGGACGCTGATTTTTTACGGACATTAAATTTTGCCTTTGATTTGTTGCGTAAAGTTTAAAAAATCAGTTTTTTTTTTCGATTTTTCACCTTCAAGGTTAATTTTTTTTCCAGCCAATTTGGACTCAAAACCAGCACTGAATAATAATCTATCAAACAAAAAAAAATCATCAAAATCGGATGAAATATATATATATTATGTATGAGTATCTACTAAAAATAAAATTTAATGTGATTATACACAAACACATATATTTATTGTTTATACGGTATTTTTATAGATACAAATATTTAAGTAAATGCTCTATTTATAAATAATAAACAGCATTAAGAACATTTACCGACCTGAATGTCCGAGAAATTTCATAGAAAATATGTGTCCTCCGACAGGAATCGAACCTGTATCGTACACGGAACCGTCATATATCCTGACGTGCTATACCAATAAATGTCGAATTAATGCTTTTAAACTACAAATTTCCCATGATTTCTCTCGAACACTCATATTTGCCCGAAGCGTAAACAAATGACGTAATATACTATATATTAAATAATTGTCGAATATATATATGTGTTTGTGTGTGTGCGTGAATGTGTGCGTGTGTGTGATCTAACCTGTATCGTACACGGAACCGACATATAGCCTGATGTGCTATACCAATTAGCTACAGAGGAAGCATCTGATTATAAATATCGAATTAACTCTTTTAAACTACAAATTTCCCATGATTTCTCTCGAACGATATTTGCTCGAAGCGTAAACAAATGACTTCATATAGTGTATATTAAATAATTGTCGAATATATATATATATATATATATATATATGTGTGTGTGTGTGTGTGTGTGTGTGTGTGTGTGTGTGTGTGTGTGTGTGATTAAATAAAAAGGAAACTTATTCGTTATTCGTCTATTTTCGGAGACTTTTCTTGGTTTCCGAAGGTTTGGTTGAGTACTTTTGTCTTTCACAAATCATTTTCAAATTATTTTGCTGATAATGCCGTGGCTCTAAGTATTCATTGTTTTGTGTTATATGAGTTTTATCTTTTTTTCAAATATCGTGTCGTCACGCGAGATCTCGCTCTCGCTCTCGCTCTCGCTCTAAAGGGACACAGTACATAAAAGACAGGTTTGGATTCATTTTGTTTTACGGCATATCAACACCTCAATGGGTTACTTAATTTCGGCAAGATTTGTAGAATAGATTCGTATGAATAGAATAATGTATTCGTTGTAAGAAATCTGTTTGTAGATCATGTTTCATTAACGTATTTTGGTAAAGAGGATTTTAGTCGAGAGTTAAATGTATCACATGGTAATTTTTTTTAATTATGTCATTGAATTAAAATATACACACACATGCGCAAACGTACACACGCGCACAATTTAAATAGAATTGAAATAGACATCCGTGTCTCGAGGGCTAATTTCCCTTTCTGTCTGGTAACAACCTCTGCTAAACAGGAAAAAGGTATAAGCCAAAATGTGCAGCACTTTGAAGTCATTTTTATGACTCTCTATTTTAAACTAAATACACATTTATATTTGGTATATGGTAAATTTAGGGTTAATTTTTCTTTCTGTCTGGCAACATTTGTGTAACAGGAAAAGTGTATAAGCCGAAATGTACGCCCCTCCACCATATTTTTTTGATCGTTATCACCCCATGCAAGGCAGAAATCTACTAAAACCCAATAGGTTACAGGGTTTGAAAGAATTAGGAATAGAAACATTAATAATGAGAGAAAAGAGTAATAAGGTTTGATTCGGTTTGGTTTTACGGCATATTAACGTCAATGGCTTATTTAATGTCGACAAGATCTTTAGCATAGATTCGTATGAATAGTATATGTATTCTTTGTAAAAAAATCAGTTTTGTTAATCAGGTTTCATTGATGTATTTTGGTAAAGAGGTTTTTTTAGCCGGGTGTCTGGTTTAATTTATGTATTCTTAGTTTGGTTTGGTTTATTTTGCTTTGCAGCCTATCAACTTCAATAGGTTATTTGATGCCGACAAGATTTTTAGAATAGGTTCATATGAATAGAATATGAATTCTTTGTAAGAAATCAGTTTCTAGATCAAGTTTCATTGACGTATTTTTGTAAAGAGGGTTTTTTGTCGAGAGTCTGGTTTCATTGACATATTCTTAGTTTGGCTTATTTTGTTTTACGGCATATCAACACCTCAGTGGGTCATTTAATGCGGACAAGATTTTTAGAACAGATTCGGATGAATAAAATATGTATTCTTTGTTTAAAAAAATCATTTAATTGGTTTAATTGACGTAAAGAGTATTTTTGTCGAAAGTTGAATGTATTGCTGGTATTTATTTTATTTTATTTATTTTTTCAAAGATGGATTGTTACTATAAAAATCTATTTTTAATGGACTCCCCAAACCGAGATCAAAACACTATTTGCCCATAACCTGGGACCATAATATGTGCTACCACCCCAGGTCAGGGTGGACGTGGGAACAATAGCAATTAAGAGGTAGTTCCACACTCTTCAAAACCTCCCAATCAGAGACCTTGCTAGTGGCTGTAGTTTATTGTCGCACTCTGGAAAAGACGGTTCCTTGGAAATCTATTATAGGAAAAACGTAACGAAGTATCGTATTGGAATAA